GGCAATTGTTGGAGATTCCAAAAATAATATTATATACAGAGTGTTCCATTTGAAAAATCAAAGTTGCTACTGCTTTCTAATAGAAGCGGCAACACCGCATTGTCGAAAATATTTTAGTTGGCTAGAGAATGTCCGAATATGCCCTCCATTAAATTTTCGAAGTGATCCGTTGTCTGGATCACCAGAAACGTCTAATGTGCCATCCACCGTGAATCAGCCTGTAGACTTGTGCACATTGCCAATTGCACAAATCAATATAATGCCGAGTGCAACAGACTGTTGGTTGACACTGGAAGTCACAGCATACTGGAAATGACCTCTGACTTTATGCTTCCAACTGTCAACCACGAACTGCCTTATAAAGTACGGTTCCCGAGTAAAGAGGACTGGAATCTCCAGGAGAAGATGGATCAAAAACACCTTTCGGTTCTGGTGCAGGTGTTTTCAGTCGCAGACCTAGTACAGACACAGGGTGTTAGACAGTTGTATTGAAGCCGAAGAAGGCCATTTCCAACACTTTTAGTGCAATTCGTTAGTCTAGATGTTAGTGTTATTGAATATTTGTTGTCGTTTTTACATAATTAGTAATGAAAAATTGTAAAAATAATAATTTCCAAAAGAAACATTCAATTCCCCATATTATTCCTTGCGAGGTCTAGGGATATGAAATTAGGTCGACTTAAAAACTAAGCAAGCTACGAAAAAAACTCAAGAGACAAAAAAGTTGTATTTCTAATCCAAAGAAATAATAAAAATTGCACAAAAGTCAGTGGCGTACCTTTTAAGTCAAAAATATTCGTTCAAATCCCGCTCGAGACGCCACTGGACTTAATAAATTGAATCACGTTCGGGCTAAATTAGCTCCTTGATGTTATAAATACCAACTAAACACACTTTTTATAACAATCATAACTTAAAAGCTTATGAAGTTGACAACAACTGTCAAGTTGTTTATTAAATGCTGTTATCGTTTTCCAAGGCAACCGTTGATTATTATATATGGTATTTTCAGAAGAGTGCGAAATTCAATGATGCGGCGGCTACACAGTTGTATTGAAGCCGAAGAAGGCCATTTCCAATACTTAATTTAGTGCAATTTGTTAGTCTAGATGTTAATGTTATTCAATATTTGTTGTTATTGGTACATAATTAATTAGTAATGGAAAATTGTAAAAATAATAATTTCCAAGAGAAACATTTAATCCCCCAAATTATTCCTTGTGAGGTCCAGGGATATGCAATTAGTTCGACTATTTTTTCTTAAAAACTAAGCAAGCTACGAAAAAAACTCAAGATACAAAAAACTTGTATTTCTAATCGCTCAATCCAATGAAATAATAAAAATTGCACAAAAGTCAGTGGCGTACCTTTTTAAGTCAAAAATATTCGTTCAAATCCCGTTCGAGACGTCGCTGGACTTGATAAATCACGTTCGGGCTAAATTAGCTCCTTAATGGTATAAATACCATTGCCAAATTACAACAAAATTGGGTGAAGGATATTCGAGATATTTACGAATAACTAACTAATAACCTAACACAGAAACTCCGTCATACGAGGAAATTATATGAAATCGTTTCTTTTCGTATCAATATTCTTAACGAAACTGGATTTATAATGAAAAGAGTTTGGAGTCGTTCTTTACAGACAACCGAAAAGTTTCTTGTGAGTTATAAGAGTTAGATGACCTGGAAGACATGAACATAAAAGTCAAGAAGCTGGAATTAATTAAATTAGTAACGAAGATTGCGACAAAAAGAATAGTGGCTTAACTAAATGAGCCATAAAAACTTTTTTCAATGGAAAAACTTTCGCATCAAGAAGCGGAATAGAGAACGATTTGTAAAACAACTTAGAATCAGTTTCCTGGAATCATTTCCGGAAAAATTAGTGGGGATTTCTCTAATAGCAGTGGAAAGTTTATTTAACCATCGTAAAATAATAGTCCAGTCATTATAGTAAGTTCACCTCGGAATTCGGGGTACCCAGCTGTAAGTCTGTAAATACTTGTATATTGACACCCTGGAAGTTGTCTCAAAACCTACATATGGTAGGGTATACGCAACTATTAAATTTCAAGGTCAAAGGTCACAAAAATCGTTTTTTTGCGCTTTTTTTGTAAATATCTCATTTCCTATGGGTTTTTTGCTATTTGTATTCATTATCAATATTGTAGAATACAAAATTCTCTACAAATTTTGTTTGAAAAAATTTTTTATACGGTGAACCGTTTTCGAGATAGAGGGCGGAGAGCACGCGGTCACAGCATCACTTCAGGTCAACCGGTGCCTCCGGTCGAAAACGCGCCATATATAGTTGATGAACTATCGATAAATCAATGATTATAAATATTTGTCAATTTTTATTAACTATTATATTATATTTTATCATNATACAAATAGCAAAAAACCCATAGGAAATGAGATATTTCCAAAAAAAGCGCAAAAAACCGATTTTTGTGACCTTTGACCTTGAAATTTAATAGTTGCTTACACCCTACCATATGTAGGTTTTGAGACAACTTTTAGGGTGTCAATATACAAGTATTTACAGACTCACAGCTGGGTATCTCGAATTCCAAGATTCTTACCTAATTTAAGCTTAAATGACTGGTGTATAATGCAAAAAATGCTTTTAGTGAAACACCAGCAACATCCTGAATTTCCTCTTAAACTCCTTGGAATCCACCTCATTACTTCATATTTTATGAAAATTGAATAGAAATACTTCTACACTTCACCTACAAAATATTTAATTTCAAGGTCGTTCCGTACTGCTACATCAACATGATCACATACCTAGTAGGCGGCGCCTGGTACCTCTACTGCGACCTCCTCGGCAACATAGCGCTAACGGTGGCGAAGGACTTCAAGCAGACCCTAAAGAACATTGGTCCTTCGAGCCGGATAGCGGATTATCGCTCGCTGTGGATGATGCTCAGCAGACTGATAAGAGACGTTGGAAACGCCTTCGGATACACCGTCACGTTCCTCTGTCTGTACCTCTTCCTCATCATAACGCTGACTATTTACGGGCTGATGTCTCAGATGCAGGAGGGACTGGGAATCAAGGACGTAGGGCTTACTATCACGGCGGTCTTTGCTACGGCTACTCTGTTTTTCATATGCGATGAGGCTCATTACGGATCCAACTGTGTAAGTTCCTTTGAATAATATTAAAAGATATATGCATCAGAGCAAATTTACTACAGTACGGTCAACTGATTTTTAGACGTGCGTCACCGATTTGTGCATCCGAAATGAGTGGAAAAAGTAATGAAAACCAATTCATATTATAACAAATTGTATTTAACATTCCATATTACAATACAGCCATATTACAGTCATTCATAAAAATAATCTAGATATTGCAGAATCATTTAACAATTATTTTATTGATAGCGTACAAGAAATTGTGAACACTATTGATCAATCTGATTCACTTCATGAGAACAATGTTGTATCGATTAACAACTCCTTCGAGAAATTCAAAGTGTTGGAGTTAGCAGTTCTGTCTAAATTGATCAACGGAGTGGAAATGAAATACAGCAGTGGAATACTCAATTGCAAACTTATTAAAAAAACGTTTGGTGTTATAGGACATGCATTGTTGCATTTCATAAATTCATATTTGAGCACTGGCAGATTCCCGAAGGAGCTCAAGACAAGTGTCCTTGTGCCAATTCAGAAAGTCCCTAACACAAACAAATCCTGGGAATTTAGACCAATCAACACTTTGCCTTGTATTGAAAAAATATTAGAACTCGCAGTTTATAATCAACTCTTTGAATATCTAGAAAATAATGATATTTTACTAAAATATTAGTCAGGTTTCAGAAAACATCATTCATGTGAGTCTGTATTACAAGTCACAATATCAAAATGGAAAGAATCGATAGATAAGGGACATTATATCATAGCCGTATTTTTAGATCGTAAAAGAGCTTTTGAGACAATTGTTCGCCACATATTACTAAATAAACTGCAAACTATTGGTATCAGGGAAACTGTTTTGTTATGGCTGACTGATCATTTATCACAACGCAAAGAGGTATCCAAAATAAAGGATTCAGTGTCATCATCTCGCGAAGTCATTTTCGGGGTACCTCAGGGGAGTGTTTTGGGACCTATATTATTTTTAATCTACCTGAATGATGGAAAACACTGTAGAATGTGAATCTGATGATGTCTATCATGGGTTCATTTGATATGAAATTCTCCTCAAATTTCTTTGCTCCTTCACAATGAGATTTTCATTGCTCAGATGAAAACTGTTCAAAATAATCTTCGCGATTTGCGTGACATCGTTGAAATTGAAAGAAACATTGTTATCAGGGTTCAACGTTGTATTTTGCCTGCTAGAAAGAGCTGATCTATTTCATACCGCTTGAATTTTGGCTTACAGTTTTTTATGAGTCCATGTAATTCAGGTTTCAGCATATTTTTCCAAATGGAATATCCCTGCCTGATAACCATGATTGCATACTGATTTTTTGGTCAATTTCGTTAGCATTTTGTCGATTTGTTTATTGTGATATGGTGCATTATCGATAAACACAACGCTTCTTATTGGAAAATTTGGACTTAGTTGTTCCAACACCCATTTCCTATAAATATCAAAATTCTTCTCGTTGTTATAATCGCCTGTATAACAATTTTATTTCCATACTTCCATCCAATGTAAGCATTAGGCACTGTTCTCTGCAGGATTAGTGATCTCACATAGAATAATTTCCCAACTTACTGTACTAACAAGATATTCACTACACGAGTTCCTCGATGTAAGTCGCGTATCCAATATTTAGAAGCACAGCTAGATTCGTCATGCTCTACAAATCATCAATATAACTAATGAATGAAAGGGGGCCCAATACTGATCCCTACGGGGCGCCTGAGATTGAAGGTTTCAGATCAGATAGGCAAGGTTTATTGAAAATAGTTTGTTAATGTGATTTTGAAAGAGCCAAAGCAACCAATATGACAAAGTTATTTGTTTTAAATTGTGGAATATGAAACTTCCCAGGAAAAGGCCTACGAAAAATATGGTCCCTCCACGAAAATCGGGTTTTTCATTAAAAAATCATGTTCTATAGCAGAAAATGCCTTTTGATTTTTGGAAAAATTGTACTGTGCCACAAAAATATTTATATTCATAATAAGGTTATCATAAAAAGTTTTTTTTAAATTTTAGCAGTCTGTAGTTTAAAAAAACCCTTGGGATATGTGTTATTATAAATGTTTTTTCTTAAAATGGTCCCTTAAAATAACCTCTCTAAGTATTAGCATGTTACTAGGTATTGATTCCTTTATTTAGTTGCTGTCTAAGACGGATTTCCACCAAACGGACTCGTTTGCGACTAGTTTCGTTTTCAAAAACAGTTTCGAGAACAAATTCGAAACAGTTTGAGTCGCGTGATTTGTTGTGGAACTGTTTTCAAACTATAAAACATTGTATATTTCCAGGTGAAAGTTCAATTCCAGAAAAGACTGCTGCTCGTCGAATTAAACTGGATGAACGATGATGCCCAGCAAGAGGTGAGCCTTTCGAATTGTTTTCCATAAAGTTACTTGTCTGAAATTTTCAGATCAACATGTTTCTGAGAGCAACTGAGATGAATCCTACGGATATGAGTTTGGGTGGCTTTTTCGATGTGAACAGAAATTTATTCAAATCTGTGAGTAAATATTTATTTATTTATGTATATACCCGGGCAAGACCAATTCAGATATGAGTAGAACAGTGCTATGTAGTACTTGATGCAATACAGTGGATTAAAAGTAAATTAAAATGTATAACAATATGAACTAATATATTCTTACAGGCAAGTAACACTGGACACAATACAACAACACAAGGAGGGAGTATTAGATGGCTTGGTGAAGAATATGATTTTTAAAGCGGGAAACTGATATATTGAAGATTTTAAGGTNAGAAATTTTGAAGCTGTACTTCTTCACAATGGGAACCAATATGCTTCTGTGCCTGTTGTACACTCAGTCTATTTGAAAGAATGCTACGAAAATCTTGAATTTCTTCTTAATAAGCTCAGCTACCCTGATCATAAGTGGACCATTTGTTGAGACTTGAGAGTTATTTCAATGTTACTAGATCAACAAAGTGGTTACACTAAGATTTCATGTTTCCTATGTGAATGGGATAGCCGTAACAGGAAACAACACTATGTCAAGCAGGTGTGGCCAATAAGAAAGGGTCTTATTCCTGGAGTTGAAAATGTTGAAAAACAAAGTTTAGTGGATCCTAAAAAAGTCTTACTTCCACCACTCTATATCAAATTGGGGCTATTGAAACAGTTGGTGAAAGCATTAGACAAAGAAGGAGATTGTTTCAAGTATCTTTCTGAAAAGTTTTCTGGTCTATCCCATGCTAAACTAGAAGAAGGAGTCTTCGTTGGCCAGGAATCCAGACCAGAAACAATCTGTTAAGTATTCCTATCGAGGAGAGTCGTTTTTGGCAATTTGCTACCAATTTAGACGTTGCAACAGTCGCATAGGTTCCTAGGCAGGTTGATATCTCTGTCCTGGATCTGCGACTAGAAACACCTGCACCAGAACCGGAAGGTGTTTTTGATCCATCTGTGAACCAACAACTATCTGCCCTTAATATTTCCTTCTCCCGGAGGATCCAGTCCTCTTTTTTCGGGAACAGTAGATACTTTATAAGGCAATTCGTAGTTGACAGTTGGAGGCATAAAGTCAGAAGTCGTTTTCAGAATGCTGTGACTTCCAGTGTCAACCAACAGTCTGTATACAAGTATGCAGTCCATCTAGCCTCTCTCTCCAGAAAAATGTGGACAGGAGGTGAATTAGAATTATACTTGGTATTCAAAAATGTGAAATTATACAGGGTGTTACATTTGAATTAGGGAAGTTGGTACCAGACGTGTTGGAAGAACGACATAATTTTCATTCGATGCCAATTGTCAGGATATGAGTCTTGTTATTTTCCAAAATAAAGCTAACCGATAGTAATCGCGCTGTACCCTGTATACACACATGCATGTTGCGCAATATATCACCCAATAGTAGGAAATGAAATGGAAGTAAATAATTGAAGAAGGAATTATCCGGCAAAGCGCTCCCCGTTTATAGCTGTTGTTTACGAGGATATATGTTCCATCATAACCGTCCATCACGTTAATCCATTTCCATCCTCAAATACAATTATCCACTCGAGTATTCTCGTTCCATCACCCATCGCTAATTGAATTTCTATTTTCAGTTAATTGCCACAATGGTGACGTACCTGGTGGTGCTGCTCCAGTTCCAGATCAGCATTCCAGAAGATGGATCTGCGTCGGGAAGCGCTTCCTCCAATGATAATAATTCGACAAAAATTTTACGATGAGTTTGTACATCCATGAAATATAAAGTGTCTTCAGCGGGTCATTTGTTCAGAATATCATCATCTATGCAGTTTTCAATAATGTACAGTTATAAGTTTTACTTAACATTCAGTGTTCGATTTATTTGAATCGGTTCATGAATAAAAAAGTTATGNTGATGTAATAAACGCTATATGTATATATACTCGTATATACACATATACACATAAACACGCATACGTACATGTGTATACATACATTGTATGTATACCTTGGGAGCTGTCTGACTTGTCCATTTAGTCCAAGTCTCCAGAAAACACTGCACCATCTCATGACATCCATTCCATCAGTCTCGTTCCCTGTACTAGTTTGTACAGGTTCGGTGTTGGATGTTCCTCATATTCTTTTGGACGTAATTTTGTACGTCCATATATTGCCTGCCTCCTGTAAGTCAGTGCCTCATATTCGCAAAAGATGTGTAGAACTGTTTCTATGCCTTCGTTGCATAATCTGCAGCTGTGTCAATGAGCGGACAATGACCGGTTAGTAACCCTGACTGGTTAGTAACAAGACTGTTAGTAACCCTCGGACGGTTCCCTAATGAAGGGTCTACTGTGTTTGTTGCCAGGTACTTTTGTCCAGTACTCTGTGTGCTTCTTATTGGTCCATGTCCTGATCTGGTTTCGTACCAATGAGTTTGGTACCCCCAGAGCCGTTTCTGTTGACATACCTGACCTGTGAGCATATTGGTCTCGATGTAATGATCTGATAGCCAGTGATACGTCCCTGATAAGAGTTTTCAACGCAAATGGCATGAGACTGATTGATCTCAAGGCCTTCGCCGAGTTCTGTCCGATTTTCCCAGGTTTCGGAATGAAGGTGGCCCTGATCAGTCTCCAAATTTTTCGTATGTGTCCCAGTGCTAAACTTGTCCTGAGAATTATACACAATTTTTTTGAAAAGAACTTCAGGTCCCTTTTGAAGCATTACTGGGTATATGCCATCAGGTCCCGGCGACTAGATATATGTACACACATACAGGCTGATTCACGGTGGATGGCACATTAGACGTTTCTGGTGAACCAGACAACGGATCACTTTGAAAATTTAATGGAGGGCATATTCACTGAAACACACATATACAATCTAACATAGTTTACAAATACTGTGGAAAATGTCTTAAATACTACGTTGGCCAAACCGGACCTCATCTCAAAACACGAGTTTTGGAACACATAGGAGGCTCTAAGAAATTCAATATCAAGAACCCCACAGACCTGGTTGATCATGAAAAAGAACATTGGCACAGTTTTTATTCTGAACTTCCGACGCTTTCAGATGTCCACTCATATTTATCTCAAAGAATTCGAAATAATTTCTCTTCCCTATTCTAATTCTTTCTTACAAAACTAAAAACAGGGGCCACTTTATCAAAATTGAAGATAAAACCATTCGTTTGCTTCATGTCATTGTGTTGTGTAGGATTCGAATATTTGTTTGCTACAGTGTTTTTTATTCATCATATAAAAGAATTTCATTATTTCCACATGTTGTTGAATGCTATATCCGTCCATGGTAATTTGGTAAAAAAGACTGAATAAGTGACAACTAATTTGACAGATGTATCTTCAACAAGATGGCCATTGTCAACTGTCAACTGTTGGAAGACCCTATATATCTAACACGTCTAACAATTTTTAAACTGTTTGTTATGAAGTTTGTGGCAGGTCATTGTGTTGTGTAGGATTCGAATATTTGTTTGCTACAGTGTTTTTTATTCATCATATAAAAGAATTTCATTATTTCCACATGTTGTTGAATGAATCCCATTGGCAGTCCCTCATCTTGTGTAAAGAATTCGTCCTTCAGTTGGAAATAACAGTTTCGTACACAGCATCCTAGTAATTCCATAATTACTTCTATGGGTAGATTCGTTCTCTCTTTCAGGTTCCCGACTTCGGATAGCTTTCTCTGTATGATTTGGAGTGCTTCTTCGAACGGAACGTTGGTGTAAAGGCTTTCCACATCGAAACTAATTGGTTGATCTTCCTGTGTGACCTCAATTGACCCTAGTAGTTCGACAAAATGCCTTGAATTCTTCACAAAAGGCGATGTTTTTTCTTGTAATGGTTGTATTAAGGGACGTAAAAATCTAGACAAGTTTTGAGTAGCCGAATCTCTGGAGCTGATGATCGGTCTAATATAGAATATGGTTTTCAAACTGGGAATTTGATATATTATAGATTTGAAGGTTATTTAAAGAGTCAGCCAATCGAAGAGTTCTGGGAATAAAGCTGTTGTATGAATTATTGAATCTGTGGAAAGAAACGTAAAACGTTTGCACCTGTCTAGTTGAACGACTGGGAACATGTAAAGATATTTTGGAGAGAAACTCGGGTCTGATACTCAGTCCGTTGATAATTTTGAATAGAAGTATTAAATCTCTACGTTTTCTGCGAGCCTAAAGAGAAGGTATGCTCAAAATGCATTCCAATGCAGTATAGTCATAGTATAAACACATCTTCAAGGCAATATATCGCAGGAAATTGTGCTGTATGACCTTCCAGGAAATCCAAGATAAAACGACTGTATATACTTTTGTCACATTTTTCTTAGTGTATTTTGTTGTGAGTTCATCAACCGAAACACTATTTATATTCTTTTTAGTTCAATACATTGTGTAATTAATGTGGTTACACATTTCCTATCCTCAGAAGTGTCTTATCGTCTTATATCGGCATCGCATCGGTAAGGATTCTGGTTCCCCATTTTTAGTGTCAAATTTCTTTACGGTATGGTAATCCTATTCGTGAACTAGATTTATTGTTTACTATAAAGAAAAATCTATATTTCCATTCACCGATGATTTTGAAATCGATACCAACTAACTTTCTTAATGAAAATAAATTCGAGATCAAGTTAAGAAAACCATTCACCGATCACGATTCTAGTTTGTTACATTAAAAGCTTTAAGAAACCATACAAGATGATGTACTACTCTATTAAAAAAATATTTATGTATTCTGATGCAATAACTGTTTAAAAAAACGATATAAGAAAAAAATAAAAGACAAAAAAAACCGGTTTCTCTAGTTTTTCTTGGAAAATTTTCAGGTTATATTCAAAAATAATTCATACAAAACGGATAAATACGGTTCTTAATTTCTAAAAAAAAATAATGCAATCGAAAGGGGTATATCTTTTTTCTCCTTCATCTCTTTACAAAAATCTGGGAATCTTTCACAATATTTTTGCATTTCCACTGATTCAGAATGAACATTTTTCAATTCACTATTTATTCATTTGAGATCTTGTCTTCAGAAAAAACCATGACGGCAAATCACTAGCTCTAATGAACTTTCTATAACTGTTCGAAATGGAGGTTTCGTAGCTTATAGAGGGAATGTTATGAGTCAAAATAATCTTGGGTTTACTGAGCTATCCTGAAATACAGGGTGTTCCATTTGAAAAAACTGGGCTTTGGCCCATTTTTATATCTTCAGAATTAGTCATCGATTCCAAACACCTTTTATAACATTTTGGAAATGTTACTTCTACAAGATGATGGAATGAAGTCTTTTAATGAATCAATAATAAATAGCCTGTCAATGTATTTTGGAGGAATCACTCAAGAGCCGAATACCTAGTTTTTTTT